GCTGCGCCTGGGCTGGGACTGGTCCCGCTGGTGCAGGTTAGCAGGAAGCTCTCCACACACTCACGGGACCTGGGCTATGACTGGGTCTGGGGGTTCCCGGAAGTCGGCAGAAATTCCTACTCGGCGTGCGGGGTGGGGGAGGTACTCTACAATCACAATTTTAAAAAGAAAATACTGTACATTGTTCATCTTGACTTCTTCCCCTACCATCAAACAAAAAAGCCACAGCACTCATGTTACATAAAACTCATTTGCTCCACACATGCTTATTCTTGGGCCCTTCTGGCTTGGCCTCACTCAGAGGGTCAGAATGAGATCTGTGTGCTTGCACAGGGAACTGGCCAGTTTGCAAGGGCTCTCCTGAACGCAGTTAACAATGGGCTGTGCAAGTATTGGGGCCAGTGATAGCTCGCCAGCAGCACTGCTGAGATACGTTGCCTTGTACCAGTAAGATTTTTTTTTTCTAATCAGGCATATCAGTCACAAGGACTTTAAACTGCCATGATATTTTTGAAAAATAAGTGACTAAGACCAAAAGAAGCATTTATATAAAACAAAGCAAAGGAACAAGTGATCCTCTGAGATCCAAAATAGATTAGGAAGGTCTTACTGTTGAAGGAACGCAAATCATAAAGCCAATGATTCACACATAGAAGAGAAATTAAGACTATGTTTGCAATTCTCCCAAATGCTAAGCCACTAAGGTACAGGATAAAATAACCTTTATTAGGATGCAACAGCTTTTCTAATTTTAAGTGCCAATGCATATAGAATACTGATTTTGACCTTGAATTTTTTTAGTCTATTAGATTTTTTAAATATTCTGATTAAAGGCAAAAAATCTTCAAAGGCCAAACATTCAAATTTCAGTAAATGTAAATATGTGAGCAGTTATGCATAAGCAAATTGGCAAATTTGCTTTTTGTAGTGATATATGCTTACTATGGCATGTGACCCTGCACACTAAAGCCTAGTCTACTGTACAGGTTTGCCATAACCTCAACAAAATATTCAACTAATATTTAAATGTGAATCACAGAGCAACAGATGCACAGGACTTTGCATCCTCTTACTGACAAGTGATTTTAATACTAAAAGTATAGTACTTAGCCATTACTAATCAAATAATTTATACAAATTTTAAACATTAAGTCAGCATCACATCTGTAGTGTGCTTTGCAACTGTAGCAGCTAGCTCCTCACCACAGAAGCTTTTCGACTGCTTGGCCAGGTGTTCTCATTTAATGATATCCACAATCTCACCACCACCACTACATATGCATGGTCATGCTTCAGAATATTTTCATGACTTATGATAAAACAAGGGAATAAGTTATTGTATTAGAATGACAGATATGATATTTACTTTTACACTTCACTCTGATAATTTCCTCTATAGACTTCTACACCTGTACCACCACAAGAAAGAGGAAAATGGTTACCTTTGAAGAAACACTACAAAAACAATCTGCAGAAGAAATAAAATCTCTGAAGCTTAAAGTTTTGTCAAGTCTCACGTGAGAGAGTAGGCCATCAATGGGGGGGGGTGGGCATGGTCAGTGGGCAGACAGCCACTTTCTGACTTCTTCATTTCAACACACTTGAGGGTAGAAATCAGTCATTGAAAAGAACTGAGTCCTGAGGCACTGGGGAAGGTCTCCTAACCATAGCCTGTGGCTCCCGCTCACAAAAAAGATAGCTAATTCTGCCCATAGATGGCAAAGCAGAAGTGACCTCAGTCTAAGTGCTCAGTCCCATGGGGAGGCCCTGAAGAGGCAGCTCCTCTAAGCCTCTGAAGAAGCTGACCTTCACCATGTGATGAAAAGAAAACTACTGGGAAGCTCTGTTCATGTTAAGTGCAACACTGCTTAATCCATTCTGTCTCTAGCTCAGCATTTAAAAAAATCAAGCCACAGTGTACTCCTGTGAGGGAAAGAACACCAGAGGCAAACAAAAGACTAAGGAGAAAAAGAAACAAAACTAGATCTAGGGGTTCACAGTAAAGGAGCACCATACTTCAGCCCCAGAGCAAGATGTAACAGGAAAACGGTTAGGTAGTCTTTTCCAGCCTCCTGCTCTGGCCTTCCTTATCTGATGACCTCATAGCTGCTTTACGCCATTCTACAAACAGGTCCTAGACCTGGTAAACCCTAGCTTCATTCCATAGCTTGTTCTACATCTAAAATTCAGCTCAAGTTTCATTAATATTGCAAATATTTGCAGGGAGCACCCCTTACTTTTATGTATATACCAGTGGTGATGACTATGGCATATATGTTATTTTTCTTTTAAGGCAAAAGGTATTAAAGGTTATTTTTCTAAAATAAAACCTCAGTATTCAGCTTTAATTGCAGGGCTGGCACTTATCAATAAGAAAGTGGGTTTTGAATTAGTTTGAGTATTCATCTCTGAAAGTTCAATGGGCCAACTTCAAAGAAAACCAACTTTGAACTCTACCTTAATTTCATGTTCAGTCTTGCTCTGGCAACCTTGGATTGCTAAAACCTTAACTTAAAGATATTAAGTACATTCCTATAATAGCTCAAGACTTTCTGAGATAGCTAGTCTTGAGATGTTAATATCTGCCTTACTGCACATATCACACACTATGAGGTAAATCTCCAAACAAGAAAGTATTATACAAAAAGAAAATTCAACAGTTGAGCTCTAAAATGGGTATATCATTTCATTACTGAACTGTGCCCACTATATGATTAGTCCATAGAAAATCATCATATAAGACTTGAAGGAATCTCAAGATATTAGCATCTGCCAGAAGCCAGAATGGCTCACATGTGCCAAGCACTGTGTGAAATCAGGGTGGCACCAAGGCATACATGCCAAGTCCACCGCCGCAGGCTATCCTTAGAAACTGGGCTTTGCATATGACAGCCAGTCCCCTCCCAGCTTAGACTCGGCTTGGGTCAGCTACAATGCCAAAACTATTATATATGACTTTGCCCTTTACAAAAATGTTTTCTGGGCCCAGCCCCAAGTATCCTAAATATTCTCTCTTACTCCTTGTTACAACTGAATTAACAAGTGATAAACTGAGGAACAGATATGTTCCTCAGATGGATTATGTCATGTCCAGGACCACAGATCTAAGGGGTGGGGGTGGGGGGGCAACCAACTCCAAAACATCTTTCCTTTAAAATCACACCTGGAATCTTCCACTCAAGCCACAACTAGCACAGTCAGTGCCCACAGAAGAGACGTTGACTTTCTGGCTCTGCTTCTGCGTCCTTAACCTGAGACATCCTGCCAAGCTGTGTCAAGGATTCTGGCGCTCGCTGTTTGGAGCACAGTATAACTAAGTCCTACCCAGCAGGCTTTGGGTGCCCCCCCCCCACCCGGGCACAAAGCACTGCTATTCTCACAGCGGCTTGGATGGTAGTCTGAGTTTCACTTTGGTATCGCGTATACATGGCTTGAACCCTGAAACCAGACTGTGAAAGCTTCACTAAAGGCAGAATGTCCTAGAGAACTCAGTTCTGGGCCTACTATTTTACAAACAAGGAATCTGGGCATTGAGGAACTTACACAAGCTAGCAAGAAGCACAAATGTTTAACCCTGATACAGAAAGATATGTGACTGGCCAGAAGCAGGAGCATTGGTAATCAGAGCAGACACAAGGTCTTATTTAACTGTTTGGTGACTGGTGCAGGAAAGGGTTTCTGGGTAGAAAATTAAAAATGTGTTTCTCACAGAATGGCTTCGCTTATGGTTACCCAAAAGTTTCCAACTTCTGTAACACTGGAACCAGGTTTCTTTGGGAGCCAAAAGCATCTGGGCTAAAAACACCTTTGCCACCTTTCAAATCTCGAAGTACTTCAGCATTTGGTACACAGAGGTCTAACAGATTATAAGCTTTCACTGCAAACTTAAATAAGCAATCTTTCTGAAGAACTTTAATGTTTTGACTTTTTTGAAACTATTTTTGTGCTACTAAAGATCAATATAGATGACAGACACATAAATAGGTGACAGTTATAGAATAGATGATAGATAATAGATAAATAGAAAATAACAGAAAAGATAGGTAGATAATAGATGATTGATGACAGACACATAGCAGCAAAGGTAGGATAAACAGACTGATGACGACAGAGACAGACAGACAGAAGATAGCTGGGTGCGGTGGCGCAAACATCTTCCTCCCAGATGCCTTCCTGGTTTCTTTTCAGGGCTTGACCGCAATCAATGTCCTGGAATCACTATGGAAACACAGCCAGCTCTCCCAGCATATAGAGCTGCTCCTTCATTTTATATCAGTTCAGACTGAGCCATCAACTGTTTGCTTCTTTTCTGTCCTCGCCACAGTGGATCTGTACTGAACGTACAATTTTCAGGAGGAAGTCACGTAAATTAAGGCATGAAGCCTATAAAACAGCTATCCACATCATGTTTTCAAACAAGGCTTTATTTTACATCTATTATGCCATAAGGCATATCTCATGGTTCAGAGCAGATTCACAGTCCTTCACTCTGGAAGATAAAGGAAAGACATTCAGGGACATTTGAAAGTCATCTCTAATCAATAGGAGAAGCCCCTTAAATGCAAAGTAATTTCCTAATTCTAAATTTGTTTATAAAGAATTTTACTCCCTCAAAAGTAGCTACTAGTATCAAAAAGACCAGGACTACAAAATCTTTGCTTATTTTCCATACAAAATTATAAACAGCATATTTTCCATGCTTCAATACTCAAGATACCGATTTATTTAACTCCCTTTTCATAGGGGAAATAATACAGTATGACAAAAGGGTGAATGTAGAAATTGTAACCTCAGTAAGGAAAAAATAAAAATAATCTTTGAAAAACTACTTTTTGAAAAATGCCACTTATCACTCTCTATGAAGTCCCATAATGCTTAAGATTTCAGCAGTAGAAACTAAATGTGTTACACTGTTACAAAGAAAAAAGATTTATAGACAAGTCATAAATTTAAAAATGAAAATGCAAATCCAGCAAAATCACCATTATACAGTTGACTAACACTCTGTAAAGAAGATATAATTCTTCCTTCTGGTCCCAAAAGGAAGAATTACTTTTCTTAAATTGCAATGCAGTGTTTCAGTGCAAAAGTTGAGTCAGAAAAGTGAAGTAAACATTGGACCAGAAAATGCAAAAGCTCAGATGACGAAAGAGGACATCTCTGCTCTAGTTTCTCCATTTGGCCTCAGGCCCACGTTGACAAACCTGAACTCAGCTGGAATTTGTGCAGAGCCAAACAGCCCTTGGACATCTGGCCCAGACAT